AAAGCACTAACTAGACCAGTATCATTGTAGGATTTGCAACATAGGGTTTCACTTTCTCTCTTCTCTCTAATGGTGTGCTTTTTCCTTGTGTAGCTTCACAATAGCTTGTCTCACAGAGTAATCAAGTGGCAAATGGTTTTGCAACGTTAACAAATGACTAATAAGAATTATTCTTTCAAAAAATTTGAATATAGCAACAAATCAAGTTTTGGAATATCAAACATGTTTACAAATTTATCCTATTTTGAAAAATAAATAAATAATTGTCATAATTCTTTTTCTATCCTTTTGCAAAAGATTCAAATTTAGTATGTTTTTGGATGATAACGACTACCAGTTGTCAAAATTTCAGCTTTTCACAGTTGTTATTTCTAACAAATATTAGGTTTTAAAATTTTGTCCCTTAGATGCTACTGTATATAGAACAGGATGCATTTCTTGGATAAAAAAAAAAAACACTGAGTAGAGACATGTGATTGGTAATAAGGATGAATAAGCATCAATCTAGCATTTTATGAAACATTTTAATGGCAAACACAATTACTAGGGATTCTTTATCAATCTGGACATAATTGCACTCAGTAAGTGTTAAGAATCTGGCATCATGGGCTATTACTTTTACACTTCTGCCAGGAAAAAGTTGTGAAATATCAACTCTTGCATGGTTAGCAACATCTGAAGCAGCAATAATAGCCATAGCTGGATTGTAATGTGTGAGCAATAATTCAAAACTAAGATTTAACTTTGGCAAAAGTAGACTGGCATTTCCATGACCAGTTCCATGGTATATAATTTTTCAACTGATTGGAGCTGACCATGCACATGGCACATTTCTGGCAAAAATACACTGTAGTGGCTTACAAGACTGAAGAATGCACATAGGGTTGTTAGTTGTGCGTGCTGGCAAATGTTTTATAACAAATATTTTCTAGGTCTAAGCAACAACCAGTTTTGTCAAACATAAATTTAAGTTTTTAGGTGGAAAAAATGCACATTTGTCATCACAAACAGAATCCCTATTGTTGAATTTGAACACATGCACAACTTAAAGAGTGTAAGAGCTTGCCTCAAGTGGAGCTCATGATGATCATGCCATCAAGGCAAGCAGAAACTCCTATTAACACTGTCAGGATAGCAACCATTGTCTGTTTGAATATGACTGGTGGCAACTTTATGTCAAACAAGTGGTTAAATTAGAACCCAAGGTGTAATTATCAACAATTAGAAGGTAAGCAGGTTTCACCATTGAGCTTTGTTAATAGGTCTTCTGGCACTGATAATTGATACTGATGTACATCTAATGTATCAATTTAACTAAATATAATAATCAGTGCATACACACACTTTACCATTAGCCTTTTTTTGTGCAGTGATAATGGGAGCCATCCATGATAGGTAGTTTACAGGCTGGATTACACCAACTTGTTGGAGGCTATTTAATCTTTTGCCCACAGTGGTGAAAGCATCAAATGGTATAGAACAAATCAAATCTGCTCCATAACTTAATTCTAACCTTGATCTTGGTGCAACACCTAAAGATATTGCTCAACTTGGTTTTAAGATTGTTTTTTTAAATGCTTTACAATGTGTGAAGTAGAGGAAAGTTGTAATGCATTATACACAGATGTGATAGAGGTAGGAGGGTTTAAAAAATAAAGTTCTTCAATCCATTCAAGTCAAAATATTTACTGAGATAATATATTCCAGAAAATAGTATGCTGTTGAAAGACAACTTGCTCATTAGTTGAATGGTGCTGTTCAATGCACTGTGCTTGATGGTTAGTATTTATCATAATATCTACTGATTAATGTCAAAGTGAACATGTTTACTGATTAATGCCTAATGAGATCAATTTCATGCCTGAAGTGGTGTCAAGTTGAAAACACTCAAAGTTGAAAGTTACAAATACAGAATTGGTATGTGGTCGTTCGTTTACAGCTTCTTGCAGAAGGTGCCCTGAATTAAGTTTGGGATGATCTTTTGTGTGTTGAAAGTTTTGGTTTTCTGTAAATTGCATAAAACTTTTTTGTGACTGCACTAGTTACATCTTACACTAGTGCTTTTTGAAAAACATACATAATCAATACAAACATACATAATACCACTCCCAACATGTTGCTGGAGACTTCTTTTTTGATGCATTCAATTTTCTTTAAAGCCCTTACCCAGGCACTGCTGGTGGTAAATGATTTCACTGCTTGCTGTATCAGCAGAGTCTTGGATCTAAAGCTGAATAAATGTTGGCACTTGTTAGCAAGATATTTCACTGTGATGTTTGCAGTTTTAGTAATAGTTGAGTGTTAATATCTGCTCCCTGAAGTTCAGCAATGAAAACAAGGCATTTGAACTGATCTTCCATCAGTGACTGTAGTTGAAATTTTTCATGCTTGTGGTTATTAACACCAGCAAAAGTGACATAATTATCTGCATTACACTTGGTTAATTTGTGATAGTTTTATCAGACACTGATAACAGAAAGCTGTTCACCAAATATTTCACTATGCCATTTTCACCATCTGCACAAAGTCTATATCCTTAGGATGTTTAAGGGTGAAATTAATAAAACATTTATATTAAACAGCGCAAAGTTTTCTTTGAGACAAATTTCCCATGTATCATAGTTGACAGTGAAAGTTTTTTATACCATCAAATGTGTGACCAGTTGCAGGTTTGTAGTTGAATTCTGAAGTAGTTGTTGATTCTATCACCTCAACTGAATTGTCAGTTGAATTTGAGGCTGTCAGTTAAAAATTGGGATAATCAATTGGAGAATTAAGTAGCTACAACTGTTCTCATTCAAACTGCTCTTGCTGAAATTGACATTACAAGTTCTTGGTTGTGCCTCATTGTCAGTATGTTACAGTGCCTCATCTATTGGTCTGTCTTGCACTGTTTGCTTTTGCTTAGGTGTTAAACATTGCATCTCACTCTGTCAGATAGTTCTAGTTCCCTCAGTTATCACTGCCTACCTCTCTATATAAGAAATGGCATGTTCCATCTACAGGATGAAGAGAGGTGTACAAGCAGACATGGAACTTTCTAGAACCATGTTTAGTTAACACTTCCAACACATTCCTAACAGTCACCAAGTCTGTTTAATATGCCACATGAGTAAAAATTCTCCATCCTAACTCCATTATATCTTTTTTTGGTTGACAAAGCTATGTGTGGACTACATTGTGATGTAACAATATGATTTTCTGGCTTCCCTTTAATTGCAAACTCTTAGATTTAAAAAGTGCTGACTGTAATGCATTGCAGTAACAGTTTCACCAAGCTTCAATAATTAATAATTCAGTATTCATTTTCATATCTTAAAGTAATAACTTGCTTAGATTTTAATGTTCTGAATTCACACGATTTTCAACACATAATCATAGTGGACCTACTTTATATCTTCAGTGACAAGTGAAATGTAAATGATGAGCTTTATTATTGCAATTATATCTAGTTAAAGTAAATAAAGATTTATCAATTATATAGGCATATGTCCTTCCTACATTTTTACAGAATTAAAATATTTAATAATCAATGATAAAAAATACTTTTTCATCCATATGTTTTACTTGAAGTTGCATTTATATATACAGGCTAATTTTAAAACTGCCATACTGAAAGTTTTTATCTGAAGATACTTCTAAATCATTAACCTATTTCTAAACATCAGAACATAATAATTGAATAGAGTAATTAGTATAAAATGTCCCTTTTTCTTTATACAACACTTCAAACATTACAAGATTACAGCTAATTATCTACAAGTTTTATCCAGCTATGACATATTTATATTCCATAGTCATATTCCTTTTGTATTGAAATACCACTTAATATGCTTAGTCACATAGTATTGCTTAATATGAACCTAATTTTTTTAGTATGAAAAAGATTTCACATGTCATAAGCAATGTCAGGGATTTTAACTTCAAATCAAAGTCCAAGTGTAAAGGATAGGAGATAAGAAAATGTATTTAAATTCCACCTTTCTGGCAAAAAATATATTTTTATAAACCATAAAACCTACTAGTATCTCCTATATAATAAAAACTATACAACTTTCATTATAGCTAGTAAAAACTAAACTGTTTATAAGTAAAAATTGTAATAAATAAATATATGATATAAAAATCTTTACATTTTAAAACAAAAATTATATCAACTAAAAATAACTATAGTGCCATTTTTTAACATATAAAAAAATTAACTAGATACATAAATTTCATTTTAAAAGTTTGTACTTTAAAAAGCTACATTTATAGAGTGCAATATACATTTAATAAAAGAAGTCCCAATCAATAATATTGTCTTTGAGGATAGCTACTGTTATTCTAAATAAAAAAAAATCTTCAAGTTCTTATGGGTACATATCTATATTTAAAATCATAAAATTTATGCATTAAAAATTGTAAAGAACTTTGAATTCATCAAAACATAGGGTTCAGAGTTTATCATGTACTAGCTAAAAAAAACAAAAATCAAAGTCAACTGAACAAAAGCTAAAAAAAAGAAGAAAAGTTGATAAAATTCAAGGAGCTACCAAGTTTGAAAAGCATAACTTCAAAGTAAATCAAAATTACTAGTTCTATCTTTTCTATGATTCACAGGTAAGGAGTTTTATCTGCTACTTTCATATGAAAACTTTAATAAGTTAAACAAGTCTGGCTGTATATCTTAGGCATTTATGAAACTTATCAAACATTTCTATACTTATACATCAATGTTTATCAATATAACAGAGAAGGATATTTAAATTTGACAAAATTTTCAATAACTACTTTTTTTATAAATACTCTTATTTTCTATAGAAAATAAAGGTCTTTTTAGCATTTCCAGATACCATGAAGATTTAAAGTTTATCTAAACCGGAATTGAATTATGCCTGAAGATAGTATGTGTTCCTATAAATAAAATATCAAATTTTATATTTTTTTATAATTAAACATAGCTAATGAATAAAAATACCTAAATGGATAAATTTAAAAAAAAATTATTGTCAACTAACCAGAGTCATGATGTCATTGGCCAAATCCCGAGAGAGATCTTGAGAGATAAAACAAGCAAGTCCATTAAGAGCCACGCCGGAGTCATACATATTCTGACTGTTTAAATCCTGCAAAAAGAAAAAACAGCCAGTAAGATATATTATTTAATTAATAAAAATTTAAAAAAAAGAAAAATCAGTAGAAACGTGTTATATAGCCAAAATAAAATGAAGTGCTTCATTAATTTGAAAGATTACCAATCATTCAACATTTACACACAAGTTTAGGCTGCATAGTGGGTCAGATAGAGACATTTCCTACCAATGTTAGTATTGGGTGCTCCAACCTTTGTAAATGCTAGAATTTTTTTAAATGATTTTTAAGGCCGACATGTTCTCAATTGTAAAGCAATCCCAAGTTGATTAACTCCATCCACCTCCATTTGACTTTGTGCCAAACTAAGATTTAGGGATGCAGGTCAGTTCATAAACATTTTAGTACCACTTCATATTTCTGATATTGAAAACTGGAATAAAAATAATGATACAAGAAAGGATAGTTTAAATATTGCTAAAAAGAATAACTATGCACACTTGTATAAAATTTAAACAAGTTCCAGATAAATGCAAGGTTTAGAAATAACATTAATTTCTTATAAAAAGTGAATATAAAATCTTTACTCTTACACAGTATATTCCAATAATATATCATAAATAGCAGAATGTTAAAAAAAATAATCAGCTATAAAATCTCATGGCATAAGAGTATTGAAAACAAAATCTATTTTTAAGCATAACTTTAGAAAATGGCTTCAACTGAAATTATATTCAATATCTTTTTCAACTGGAGTTTTATATTGACAAATATTGTCAAAAAGTAATATAATTAACATTTTCTAGTGTACAACTTTTTACTTCTTTGCAAGAAATTTGAGTGATATTGACAGTTTAGATAGATAAAACACAAAAGCTAATACAAATGTCTTCTACATTATTTTTCATTTAAAAATGTTCAGAGTCGGTACCTCTAAAGATTCACTAAAAAATGAGCATACATAATGAAAAAATGCCTCAAACGTAATAAAAACAAAGTTATATCATCAAAATCTTTTATGCTATTAAGAGAAAAGACCAAAAATTTTTTGATTAATTTTTTTTTTTGATGATTTTTATTACAACAGTGAAAGGTGAGGTTAAGCTAGCAAATTAAGAAAAATACTAATTAAATCAGAAATGGGAGGTTGAAAAGAAAGAACAGTTTGAAAATATTAATTAGAACCATAAAATGAAGATTGAGAGAGCATCTGAATGGTTTGAAACAAAGACTATAAATTTACTTACATAAAAAGAAAAAAGCGAAAACCAGCTGGAGAAATGGAATAATATAATTATCCTAATGTGCTAAAATAAATAATATATTCAACACTTATGAAATTGGTAAGTGTTGGAATAATTTGGTTGGAAAAAAATGAAAAACTAAACTACCATTCTTCTAAGATGTATGTCATTGACTTTCCTTCTATTTGTTGTTTTTCCTGAGAACTTGATGGGTATTGACAAATAGCCTAAGTCTGGAAAGGATGCAAATCTTTGCACTCAAAAAAATAGAAATTTGCATCTCCAGAAAGACCTGTGAGGTTAAAGGTGATACTCAATTCTCCTTATAAACCAGCACTTAAATAGCAGTAGGAGAGCCAAAGATGAGGTCTCATCATGCACAATCATAAGAGAGAGAGAGAGAGAGAGAGAGTACCAAGTAGAAGAGTCCACTTGTTTGCTACAGTTACTGAGAAAGTTAAGATCTGAATGACCAGAAGATATTGAAGTTGCAGTTATAGTTGATATGAGAGAGTGGATCCAGCAACCAGTAGCAGACAGTTTTTTTTAATTGAAAAGCCACGGAATACCTGAAGCAATATTAAGTAATGGTTGCAAGAACTTCCTTTAAATTATCATTGTTGTATGTTAATATAGTTGAAGAACACAAACCCAGGTTGTAAATACTCTCACACCATTATTTGCCAAACAAATACCCATTTATAACGGACAAACCATAATATAAGATATAAAAATGAGTATTTTGTATAGATCACTTAAACAATGCATTAAATAACTTATTCAATTCTGTTGGAGCTCAAGACATTTTGTTAGATTTGAAGGTGGAATAAATAAAAATCCAATAACATCAGCAGCAGAACTCATTGATAGCAATACAGCAAACTCAAACTTGATCTATTGAACTCAGTTTCATCCTTGACATACTCAACAATCGTGTCTATGAGAGAATAGAAAGGTTTTCGGCCTGATCTACTTCCAAAATCTGACTAAATAACCAAACAATTTTTTTGGAAGTGCAGACGATGAACTTTTCCGTACACCATCATATGAATCATAAAAGGCTGCACCAAATTTGCATATGTGTGAGTATACGCATAACTCGGAGAACTACAACCATATATGTTTATATTCACCCCCCCTCCACACACATTTAAGCTTATCTCGCAACACTACCAATAATTGAGTTTACAAAATTTATATCTGTTACTGCCTTTGTGGGAGTCCTCATAAAGGCACTAACAGATTTATACCACTTCAATCCAGTCATTGGTTTAGCGAATGGATCTGCTACATTTTGTTCAGATGTAATATTTACAAATTGGATAACACCCTACTGAACTTCTGATCTATAAGATGGTATTTTATATCAACATATTTTAATCTTTGATGCTATATAGGATATTTCACAAGACCTAAAACACCCCAATTGTGACAATGCATAGTGTCACAACTAAATGTCAAAATTCATCATACTTTTCAGTAATTGAATTAAGAACTAACTCTTGTGTTGTAGTTGCTAAAGCTATGTATTCTTCCTCATAACAATTTGCGGTTTTCTACTTTTCCAAGAAATCAAACTCTTTGGAGACACTTGAAAAATATAATGTTCTTTAGAATTACTCCAATCTGCACAGAAACTAATTAAACTAAGATTTAACTGTTTGGAAATTAGATTTTGTTTCTTTGTATGTTTCAGGTAACATAAAACTTGTTTGCCTGTGTTAAATGACTAATGGCAGGTTTCAACAGATGCTGTGTGAACGGTTAAAATTTAACAAATCTAATTAAGGGGTCATCATAAGATGGCTTAAACTTCCAACTATTTCTCTGAACAACTTGTCAGCAGCCTATATATATATATAAGAAATATAGTTTTAAGGTGTGCTATATTTATGGGATAAAGTACTCGATATCAGAGATAGAGCATATGTAAATATAAAAGTGAACATTGAAGTAAACACTCAGAGGCAACAGGCCATTTCATGCTAGGCGTAATCGTCAGGCCACGAATTCGCAGCCTGACGATTGCACCTAACAGAAAACAGCCTGTCACCTCTGAATCTTGACTTCAATGTTCACTTTTATATATATATATATATATATATATATATATATATATATAAGAGAGAGAGATTTATTTCACAAGGAATAAATCTGGGTTTTACAATTATGCATTTCAAATTTGGTTATTATATATATATATATATATATATATATATATATATATATATATATACACACACACACACTAGCCGAATTACCCATGCCTTGTTGTGTGTTACACATTTTTTTGTAAGAAAATGATGATTGATTTTAAATCATAGTTATAATTTGTGGAGAAAAATGATGCATTTCAATGTTGCTTAATGATCTTGCCGATGTGACCTCCATCTTCTGGCTTTCTCCTTCTATATTTTGGATAGGAGTCATTCCCTTATGCAAATTTAAATTCAATTTAAATCAAAGGGAAAAAAATTTCAGTGTGTGTGGGGGTGGGGTGCAAAAACAGCTTGATCTGACCACTTTGATATGTATTTGATGCAATACTTGATTGAATGAGCAGATTTCAACATTGATGTGACAGTTGAATTGTTGTAACAAATATGTATTGTAAAGCACTACCCACTGATTGGGGATTTCTTGCTCAACTTGATATCTACATTGTCTCATTTTGATCTTGCTGACGTGACCTCCATCTTCTGACTTTCCCCTTCTATATTTTGGATCAGAGTCATTCCCTTGTTCAAATTTAAATCAAAGGGAAAAGATTTTCAGTGTGTGTGGGGGAGGTTGTTAGATTTAATCATGAAAATTATAACACTCATAATACTGATAGACATCTTGCCATTCATTTAAAAAAAAAAAAAAAAAAGATTGCCCAACTCTTTCCATAGTGCCATTTTGATGTGCCAAATGTTAATGATGAAAAATAACCATAACAAGAAACAGGAAAATAAACATTTCCATACAGAAGGCATTCATTAACCAAGCATTACTGTCAACTGAAATTTATGAAATTTTTTTTTTAACCAATTTTTCAGGAAATTAGAAATCCAGTAGCTGACTTTCAGGTCTTTTGTTTAAGATAATGTGAAAAGTCAACATCTTGATTATACCATTATTTTTCTTTCTAGTTGCATGTGCTACCCATTTCTGTTGTTGCAGCTGTTGGAAGTCTTCAAGTGAAGAAGGTTTTTGCTATTTGGTAAAGATGTTTGTGATTTTGTAGCACAGTCAGTCAAGCCTGATGAGTGATTGTCTTCTTTAAGACCTAAAGAATTCAGTTACATGAAGCCATTTTTAATCATGGATCTGAGAAAAGAGTTGTATATAGATAAGAGTTTAGACATTTCTAAATGAGTTGGACACCATTGATGCTGAATATGATTATTAACAAGTAAATTGTAGCAATGAAAGTCACCCATCTTGGGCGAAACATCTGTGTGTCATATGTATACTTTGCTGTTGATAAGAAACTACCAGGATATGCAAATTTGCTATCTGACCAATGATAGGCCTCTCAGATGCCTATATAAACCATTAGTGTTGAGTATTGGCAACTGTTGGTGTATTGTCAGTGACCTAGGTTAAATTCTTCCAATTACAAGCTATTTTACCTTCAGCGTCCAGTTTGATCTAAAGCTGATACCTGAAGTTGATGGATCAACACCTGGTCATACTGAAAGAGAACACTTCAAGTCCTATTGCACCAACAAACACAATCTACTCCTATGAGATTAGACTGAAAGGTACTGTTGCAGTAGTCACAAAAA